AAGTGCTGTGCATGCTACTTCAGGAGATGTCCTTCTTCCTGGGGTGTTCCTCTGCTGCACAGCTTGGTGCACTGGGCATATTCTCTGCCTCGTGGCCTGAGAAGATGAAAAGATTTTGGACCATGTTTTTCTGTGCTTTGTTGCTGCCAAAGCAGCAGGTAGGACACCAGCGTGTCTCTTCATTCTCCTCACAAAGAGGTGTAAGTAGCTTGGAACGGGATGGTGTGAACCACCTTGGTGTAACCGAGTAGGAAATACTGATCACACACGGGCAAGCCAAGTGATTTTGTTTCCTGCTCTGCCTTGTGCACAGGACTGAGTGTCCTTCTACCTCATAAAAGGCAATAGTGCCATCTGTGACACAACGTGTCATCTGCCTGCGGAGTATGCTTCTCGTTCCACCTGGAAGCAAAAGCAACATTTATACCTTTGTGTAAGTGTTAGATTCAAAATGCTAAGGAAGCCAGTACCGCTAAAAGCTTTCATCAAAAAGAAGTTTGACTGCGGAGTAGCATGAAGAAAACACAAAAACATTTTCTATTTCAGGATTGGAACTTGATGGCTCAGTACACGAGCGCTCCAGCACCTTAGAGCTAATCATAGAATCATAGAATGTTTTGGGTTGGAAGGGACCCCTAGAGGTCATCTAGTCCAAGCCCTGTCAGATCAACCTTACGTTCGCAACAACTGATTTCCTAGAGACAGCTCATTTGCCACAGTTTTCCCTCTTACTTTGGTGAAGGAATCTATTTCCATCTCACCTTTAATGTCCTCCTGTGAGACCAGCAGTTGCTCTCAAGACTACTTCTTTTCCTTTCTCTTCCCAGCCCAAGTGACCAAACTTACCGTGTGCTAACGAAGCTAACATTCCTCTTACCTTTCACACGTTATTAATGTGGGCTCTGAGCGTGCCGTCAGGTTTACGGTGTCCATTCCAAAAGGGAACAAGCCGCCTATGATATAATCACCAGGCCTTCTAAACTGAGCTGATAGGCATGTGGGTTTGAGGGCTGCAGCGTAACCAAAGCTCAAGCACAGCAGCAGGTCAGGGACCATTATTTGTCTGTTTGGGAAAAATGTTTCAAAGAAATCTCCAAGCGAATGGGGAGAAGGAACAGGGGCAGGAGATCCAGTCTCAACAGTTCCCAGGAAGTCTCTTTAAATACAGCTCAGAGAGATGAAAATAATGGTGAAGAATTTGTTTAGCAAAATTCGTTAAATGTGTAACTCTATGCTTAGTGGGCAATAGTCAAATACGCAGCAATACCCTATGAGTGAACTGGGTTGCAAACCACTGGCCTAATCCTGGTTTCCTTTACTCAGGGAGTAGCCTTTATTTGAGCAGAGTGACTTAATTGAATTCATTGTCGCAGCTCTGGAAATTGGATTTGCTGTAGGATAGGTGGTAAATTCGGGTGCCCCACCTTAATTTGGACACGTCTTTTGCATTAACTCCCCCTCGCCCCCACCAAACAAGAAACAACATCTTTAATGGAATGTGTTTGTAGAAATGGTCCCCGTTTACAGTTTTCATGAAGAACTGGGTCTGTGACTTGTCTAATGCAGGGAGCAGATCTTGATCGGTGCAGGTTGCTCATCTAAAAGCATCGCCAAGAACGTGCTTTGATAGGAGCGGAATCCAACAAGCTGAAGTGTGCCGTGTGGAGAACGGTGCCTGTTACCACCATACGACCAGTACCCGTATGGAGGCTGAGCAGGGAATAATTTACTTGCCCACCAGCATTGCTTCCTGCTGTTACCTGAAGTTCTCCTTGGCTGCCTCTGATCCAAGCATTCACTTGTGTGCTCCCTACTTAGAAGCAGCCTGCACTGAAGGAATATCACGTAATTTATTTTTAAATGAACTTCAGAGTAATATGTCGAGTTGCTAGAACTAAAGGGTAGTGGTAGGAGAAGTACACAGCAGTAATTGCTTTGGTTTCTTTTTTTTTTTTTTAAATTCAAGGTCACCTCATCATGGAGAAAACCGAATCTTCCTCTGTGCATTGCAAGGACTTGTCTGGAGCAGGCCATTCCTAGATTGCAAGGTTGGTGAGCTGTTTCTCAGCTACATTGCTATTTTTAGGAACTTGTTATTAGCTGATGTACGTTTTTCTCACACTGAGCTACGATGTTAACTTCAGTTTAAAACCTTTGGTTTAGGTACAAGTTCCACAGCAAAGTAATTTAGGTTGCGTCACGGTTTGCATTTTTTCTGTCAGGTTTGAATTTTAGAAAACAGGATAGTTCTGAATTGGAAAGTTCAATTTACTGCATTTTATTGGCTTATTATATATTTATAGTGTACCATAAAACCTGCTCATATAGCCGAAGTGACGTACTGCTTTTGCCACAAGGCTACTGCAGTAATTTTGCATGTATGAAGAGAAGCAGATACGCTGTAGAAAAGCAAAGTACGCGAGTACTTCAGGCAAGCAACAGTTGTAGATTTCTATAGCTACATTACATAGATATGCTTATACTGACATCCTTTTAAGGATACCTGCCCTTTAAATGGAGTATTTGTTAGCTTTAACTGTTTAACTTCTTTTAAAAAAGTTCTAAATACAAATTCAGCTGCACGGGGTGGGGGGAAGAAGCTGTTTGAGTACTGTAGGAGTCACACGTGGGCAATTACTTACTCCCATCCATACTTTCACGTGAAACCAAGTATGATTACTGTGGCATAGGAGATAGTTTAAGTGATGGACTTTTGTGCAAAATATTCACCCCCCCTCTAGTGAATCTGTGTGTTGTTGCAGCTCTCAAGTACAGCAGTCACTGCAGGTGAAGGTTTTACTCTTCTGAATTTGGCCCCATTAGTGAAAGCTGCCAGACTCTGAACTTGCCCAAAGCCAAGTACAGGACCTTAGTTTTACTCAGTGGTAACTAACTGGAGCTTTTAAAAACGCTCCCATTTGGAGACAGAGCAGGGCACCAGGAAAATACAATCATCATTAGGTAATACCTTGTTTGAATGAGACCATGCAGACGGATGGAAAGTTGTATTTTACTTGAAGCACAGTTTGCACAAAATGATTGGTTATAAACTTACAGCAGCGTTTTTCCCAGCTGAGAAAGTTTGATCCTTTAATGGCAAAAATGAAGTTCATTTTCAACATTAATGTTTATCTCATAAGAGAAGTAGTGTAAAATTAATGTGACAACAGAGCAAAAGTAATTTTCCCATGTGGTCATACTACCATTTCTGCATTGAACTCCCAAGAAATCAAAAACATTTTTCACTTGACACACATTACTTGACATAGTTTAAGGCATTTAATACACTACATGGATGAAATACCAGCTATTATCTGTATCAAACAGCAAGGAAGGTCCAGCAAGATGTATTCTGTGGTTTGTAACACAGGACTGCTCCATTGTAATACATGGATTTATCCTATGGAACTACGTAATCATTTTAAGGTGGTATTAGCAGAAAGAGAATGATACTCGTGTTTTCACAGCATTGCAACTAAACCTCCACTGAAGATGTTCAAGGAAATGCAATTTCCTATCTTCTGGCAAAAAATATTATTGATAGATGTGAGTAATCAGAATAGGAGCTCAGTACACAGCACTGAACTTCATCTGGGTTACTCCTGAGAGTCTGTTTCACATCTGATCACTAGGCAAATGAAACAGACTCTGCTAGCGAAGGACAGGATGTGAAAACCTAACACTGTAAGCCATGTTCCTGCCAACATGACAAAACTGGCAAGCATTTTCATACAGGATACTCTTCAGAAGCCTGTTATTCACAATATTTTAATATCCAGTTAGACAAATCCCTGTGAGGTAATAGTGATTTCCTGAATCGCAGTGTTATGTTAGGCCAAAATGCCTCCTGAGATACAATCAAAACATCTTACAGCCTGTGGGATTCCCCCCCTGCCTCCAGATATTCACAACACCCTGAACTAACAGTGTAGTGCTTTTTCAGCTTTCAAAAAGCTAAGTAAACTCTATTTTACGTACTTCGGTGTGTGTATATATATATATGCACCAGCTATTATATGCAGTGATTTGCACTAGAAGCCATAAACCTCACAAAATAGTGATTTCCAAGCTTGGATTTCTCCCCAGTCAGAGAACTTATTTTTATAGGCATTAAAAAAAAGACAATGATGAAAACACAATTTAGAAGCATGGCTGGAAAACAGATAAGGAACAGTCTGCAGCCTCAGCTGGATATATAGTATTGTGCAGTATCTGCTAAGACCTGTTCCACATCCTGGGATGCATAAAGCATAGATTAACGGGCAGGGGAAGCTACACAGAAGGAAGGTCCTCCTGAACAGATCTGCACCCAGTGGAAGAACGGTCTCTTACAATAATGACATCAGCACCATTTCCTTTAATTCTAAGGGACTCCAAATCAGCATTTTTTTAGTCTGTGACTGCAAGGAAAAGAGCTTCCTTCCAGACACCCATTACTTGGGATGGTATGTTCAAGGTTAAAGCATAAGAGAAACCCCCCCAGATCTATTCAAGGGCACAGCTTGTAAACAAAAATGATAAAGTGAGCTCGCACGTTGGGTCAAGGTGTTCAGACACCACATCCGAAAGGTGTGCTGTCCCAGGAGGTCCCAACGATTGGTGTAAACACCCAGAAGCTGCTGAAGTTGCAGTTTGGCTTAAAAAAGAAACTAAAATGCCCCACTCCCAGCCTAGCTGGAGAGCTGAAGGTGAATCCAGGAGGAGAAAAGAAACCCCTTAAGCACACTAATAGTGTTGTGGTTTTTTTACTGTAGAGATGAGGCTCTCCACACACACACACACACACACACATACATACATACTAACTAACTAAAAAAATTAGTGCATTTTTTTCTCTTATAAAGTGAGGCATCCTGAATAGCTTTGCCAACTTGTCAGCTCTGTGCTGGGGAAGGGAGAGCGACCACAGACGGAACCAGACACCGGTGTGTCGGTGAAAACATGCCGTTTTCACCTGGTTCAGCCGACTTCTGCGGCGTGGCTCCTCACCATCCCTCCCGTCAAGGAAGGTCAAGCAGCTTGTGCTGGGCAAAGAGCTCCTGGGTGATGCCGTAGACGTCGCAGATATAGGGTAAGGCCTCGCCCAGCATCGCGACCGCTTCCTCGGGCGTGCCCACGTTCATGTTTTCCAGGAAGGTGTCTCGGGGCGGCAGCGTGCAGAAGGCCACCGTGGCAGCCTTGCGAACGACCCAGGGGTGGTAGGCAGCCAGGGAAGCGTTGTAGGAGTCCCTGCAGATGACCGAGGTGCGGGAGTCCTCCCGGCCGGTTCTCAGACCCTCCAGGAAGAGCTGCAGCCACCGCAGGGCCCTGTGG